ATCACACAAATATCGGCCTCACAGAACTGGGCTTTTTTCCATACTAAGACTGGGGTGTCACTGAGAGCCCTGGTCCCTTTCTAATGATCAGAACACCCGATTCTGGGTCACATGATCGCTGTGATAGCCTCTGATTGGTTATCACAGTGATCAGTCACTGTATAGCCCGCCCCCCTTGTTTTATCGTTATTTTTTTTTTCCCTATGAATGGAGGAGAGAGATACAATGTATCCCTCTAACTCCTTTCATAGATAGGAAAAAAAATGTTTGTTAAAAAATAAAGAGAAATAATAAAGAGAAAATACCTAGATTAAGGTTTGATCTAGTTCAGTGCCAGGGTAAGTGTTTGGGTCAAAGGTCAGGGATTTTTTTTTTTTTTTTTTTATGGTATTAGTGTCAGTGTGTTTTTAGGTAAAAAACCCCAACAAACAAAATGTGCACTATTGTTTTTGGGCTCTACTATGGGTACAAATAACATATACATAAATGGTATCGCTGCAATCGTCAAGAGTTGGAAAAATTATTTTGTGGTGTTCTTTGGTGGCAGGTTATGGTAGTAACAAGAAATACCGCTAAGTTTTTTTTTTTGTTTGTTTTTTTTTCTCTGTTTTTTTTTTTTTTGTTTTTTACTATTTTGGGCTATAATAATAAAATCAGGAGATATCTATTACCATTTACCACCAAATGAAAACTCAATTTGTCTTGAAAAAAAACAAGGTATAATTCACCTGGATGTGCAAAGTGGTTGTAATGATATGTACGGTATTACTAACACATGTCAACAGTGCAAAATTGTGCTTAGGCATTAAGATTTGTTTTACCCTTAGGTGTGAAGGGGTTAAGCATCCATAGACTGATAGAAAGAGATATATATATGTATGTATGTATTTTGTTTGTTTTGTTTTTTCCCCCTAATGCTAGAATCACAATTTTTAGATATTTTTATATATTATGATCATATTGCCTCTTAATCTTCTCCAGGGAGAATACATTTAGGATTATATTTTTTTTTGTTCTGGTTAGGTTTACTTAACAACTTGGGTTACTGGGCATTTTACCCCCTTCCTGCCAAGGTCATGTTTCAGCTTTCAGTGCTGTTGCACTTTGACAATTGCGCAGTCATGCAGCACTGTACCCATATTAAGTTGTGGGGTTTTTTTCACACAAATAGAGCTTTCTTTTGGTGTTATTGAATCACCACTGGGTGTTTTTTTTAATTTTTTGCACCTAAAATTTAGAAAAATTTTTTTTTTTTTTTTTTTTCTGTTTCTTTTCTGAAATTTTGCAAACGGGTAATTATTTTTATCCTTCACTGATGTGCGTTGATGAAGCAGCCCTGATTATCAGTGTAGATGAATCCTTTCACAGTTGCCAGTTATCGGCAGTACTTTCCGCACGCCGTGACAGTGTGCGGAAAGTTCTGCCGATAACCAGCAGGTGTGTTTACATGGTGATCAGCTGTGATTGGACACAGCTGATCACCTGTTAAAAGGTTGCTGTGATTGGCTCTGTGTCCTTTGGACACACAGTGATCACAGACCACGTTGGGTACGCAAAGCTGGGAGTGCACGGGGTGCATGTTCTGGGAGGACTCCCAGAACTGGACGACCCTGCTGCAGCAGTCGTTTGGCTATATCGCGGTCAAGAAGTGGTTAACGGATACATTTTTTTCACCAAGAATAATAAATACCCCCCCCCCCCTTTTTTTTTTTGTCAGATCGCTGATGCCATGTGGGCCTCCTGCTTGTACATCCCATACAGGCAAGCCAGTGTTTGCTGACAAGGCTCCATGAACTACCACAGCACTCAGTGCCGTGGTAGTTTGAGGACCACAGGCCGGTAGCCGATAAGGATGTTGGGACTTGTAGTCCATTTATTCATAGAACACTGTGAATGAATGAATGAGGCAGCTGTGTGGGCGGACCCCCGCACTGTTTTTGAAAACTGATAGCTAGTATGGGGAACGTCTCCTCGTACTTCTGGCACAGGGAATTGGGGGCAGCAGACGGCTGCAGGATCGGGAGCATACTACCCCTAAAAACAGGTGGAACATGTTCCCAAAGGTGAACTTGTCCTTTAAATATGGTTGTTTTAAAAAATCAAACCTACAGACTCTCCCCTGTGCTGCTGTTGTCTTACATCAGCTCTACTGATTGCTCAGCTCTCGGGGCCAAATCACACGGACTATGCTACAATGTATGGAAAATTGATGTACATTTCCATCCATCTTGGTCACATACTGATGTCAGTTGCCGTACATTTTAGCACATGTTGAGCCCTGGTTCACACTGATGCGGTGCGGAATTTGCAGCGTTTTATGTGCGAATTCCACACCGCATCAGAATCGCACCCCCTTCATGTGAACTGCTGCGGGTGTGTACTGTATGTTGACACCCCAAAAGCAGTCTGCAAAACGCGGCATAATGTTCACAATTGGATCACATAGGTGTGAATACCCATGCGATTGGAGTCTAGTGCGGACCAAAAAAGGGGCTCTGCACCTTTTGGGTGCGGTGCGATTAGAGGCGTACAAAATGTATGGATCGCATCGCACACAAATTGCATGTGATTTGCACAGGAATGCAGTTCCTGTACGAATCACACGTGATCTACCGCACCACATATATGTGAACTCAGGATCAAGCATACTGCATTTTTGCAGGCTATCCTGTGCATTGCGTTGACATCCACTAATATTCGTTGTGTTGCGCTATAATGCATACATGTTGCATTTTAGCACAAAGCAGATCAATGCGGCATTACGGTGTGAATAGGACACATTGGAAACTGTTTCAGATGTCCTTTGGTTTCTGTGTCTTACAGCTGCTTGTTATAAGTGGCGATCAGTGTCATATCTCTGCTCTGCCCCTACAGCGCTCACTGGAACACTGGGCTGGGGAGGGGGTGGGTGTGGCAGGGTCTGGCTCTATGTGCTGGAAGGTTAGGCCAGCTGTTAGACAGTGGGGTGAATCCTGACAGGTGTGTCTGGATCCTTCCGGGTCCTCCGCTGCATCTGCTTGTGCCTCTTGGTGGATGATGAAACGGCACATGATCACCTCAGTGTATGATACCAAAAGCTTGATGGGATTTTTCTTTCATCTTTATCGTGTGTGTGTGTGTGTGTGTGTTTCTATGCAAGCCAAGTGTTCTATCTAAGCTCTATGCAAGCCATGCTGGACAACATATCATAGACTGGTCTTCCTTAACTTTTTTACCCCAGAGGACCCCTTGAGAAAAATTCCTGGCCACAGGAACCAAAGCTAAAATTGGTTGTAATGGGGGGCATTCTTGCCACCAATGTAGAACGGGGGGGGGGGGGGGGGGGTCATTCTGGCCACCAGTGTGCCATCTTTGCAGAGCAAAAACTATCCTGGGTGTCTCACAGCTGGGTCTTCTAAGTGTTGGCCGTGGTCCTATGCAGGTATTCTCAACTGAGAAGTTAATTAGCCAGAGTAAGGAACTCTTTGGACCCTCTGGAGCAGGGGTAGGCAACCTGCGGCTCTCCAGCTGTTGCAGGACTACAAGTTCCATCATGCCTCTGCAAGTCATAGCTGTAGCTTTCAGTTTTGTTAAGTTGCAATGCCTCATGGGAAATGTAGTCCCACAACAGCTAGAGAGCCGCAGGTTGCCTACTCCTGCTCTGGAGGAACCCAATTTCAAAAAAGCTCTTAGATTGCCTATTAGGGTCCTTGTACTGGGACAGGAAGGAAGTGAGGGGAGATTCTAACTTTACTTTTGTCCCGTGGCACCAGAGGTACCACCAAGACCAGAAACGAACGGCAATTTCTCCAATAGGAACAGTGAAAAACCTGAAAGAGGTCTTAAGACCCCCCACCCCTGCCACCCTCTATCCAAAAATTAAAAGGACTTTGTGTTTTATGTAAAATTCAGGTAACCAAACTGCATAGCCAATCCTAATGAAAAGAACTGCTGCAATCTTATATATCCTATGGCTGAAATCTTTCCATGGCTGCATCTGTCCAGTTGACCTTCATAGACTACTGTGTAGCCGTCTCCAGTAGAAGATGGATGGGGAGCTAATTCCATATGGTTCTGTGGGGAATGCCTGTGCTGGTGTGGTCAGTGATAAAAACAGGCAATTGAGCCACAATTTTTACTGCTCCCTAACTGTCCACACAAAGCCTGCAATACAGGAAGATGGGGCTGTTCACATGCTGTGATGCCCTGCATCGTGGCATGTAGCGTTGATAGCACTGCCTGTCAAACTCTGCCATTCAATCAGTAGGGCTGTGATGCAGTCACAATCCAAAGTCATTGTTGCCACACCCTGAAAAGTGATCCACTGCAGATCACTTTGTGAGAATGGGCAAGTGTGAAATTAGCCTAGGGATAGGTTTAATGGTTGCCTCCCAAAGGTGTCAAGCTTGTCATAGAGTGACATTTGGCAGATTCAGCAGGGACTGGCTGAATTTCAATCCATCTATGTCCATTTCTGTTGAAAAGGAGTCATCCTAGTGATTAATCGTGTTTTAGCAGCAACTATATACAGCACTATCTTATTATTTTAGGGTCTATTGCGCTGATCGAATAGGGTTTTAGTGAATAACGCCTCTCGCACTACAATGTTAGTGTGTTCGATCAACGCATGCAGCCAATCGTCTGCAGCGTGGATCAGTGTATTCTGACAGCAGAGGAGTCCTGCTATCAGAATACAAGAGCACAGCTGGGAGGATTCTGTCATCCACCTCTAAAGCCGTACTCTGGGCAATAAAATGTTGTTGTTTCACCCCACTGCATGGGTCAACTGCTCGTGTGTGGGTTTTTTTTTTTAGGGTTGAGGAGCACAAAACGCATACTCACCTGACCCTCTGATCCTCAGGAAAACTGCACTCCCCCACGGTCCATTTAAAAGACCGCTGGAGCTTGATTGGGGGGCGGAGCTGAAGGCAAGTATATCACCGCTGTCCTCTCCCCTAGAACAAAATGAGCAGTTACACCAATTTTGCCCCGGTGTTCTTCTTTAAATATTTGGATTTGGGGGTATCTGTACCCCTCCCTTACTGATCAGTGTGATCTATTGTCCCAACAGCCTTGCTAACACACATGATGGCTGATTGTAGTCTATAATCTTAAATGTTATTGGCTCCAGGGGCGGACTGACAACTCATGGGGCCCCCGTGCAATAGGGGATCATGGGGGCCCCTGTGTCCTTGTCCAAACTCAAAAAAGCCTATGAAAAAGGTACCAGGGGCATCTCATGGGGCCCCCTACTGACCCTCGGGCAGTGCCGAGTTTCCAAATGGTCAGTCCGCCCCTGATTGGCTCATTATCTCTGTTGTAAATTTCACAATACAGTCCTTGCAGACATCTTAGTATACTTGTGGCAGCGTAAATTAAAAAAAAAAAAAGGGGGGGGGGGTTGGCAGCTTTGCTACCCACAATGACCAATCAGCACTTTTTCTAACTGATTGCATGCTTTTTGTTTGTGTTTTGTCAGTGTAGTTTAAGTAATCCCTGCCATGGATCTACCTGTGTGTCTGGGCTGGGGCTGCTCTGCTTTGTGTCACCGCCTGCTCTGACAACAGGCTCCTCTTACAAACACTGAGCCTTCTGGAGGCCAATCCTGTGCTGAAAATGTCCCTGACACCAGAGGCTCCAGGGACTCACTGAGCATGCTCAGCCCCACTCGCCTGCTAGAGGGAGGAAGCTGACTTGCATTGGAGTCATACCAAGCATAGGCTGCATGTCAGAGCAGTGAACTTGCAGCGGGGCTGTGAGAACTGACTGGCTTTGTCCTTTTACACTTTTTTTTTTTTTTTTTTTTTTAAATTTCATTTTTGGGTTTTTTTTTTCCCTCCAATACTCTGAAAACCTGCAAAACGTGAACAGTCTGGTGTAGCCGGAGACCCCACAGTGTTGCCAAGGCACAACAGTCATCGCTTGCTCTGAACGGATTCCCTATTTTTTTTTTTTTCTCTACCCTTTAATGTACTTTTCTCGGCTTTTGTTGTTGGAGGCTGGGCCTTTCTGTCTTGTGAAATCTTAGGGAGAGCTGGGAGCTGATCCCAAGCAGTCTGCCTCCTTCCTCTCTCCCTTTTTTCTAATTTAATTTTTTTTTTTTTGTGGGGAAAGCGAGAAAGCTGGTCTTTCCTGCAAACCCGATAAATGCTGTTTATGAAGATGGATCTGTTGAACTACCAGTACCTGGACAAGATGAACAACAATATTGGCATTCTGTGCTATGAAGGTAAATACACGGCCCCGCTTGAACAGTTTTATGTAGTTGTACGTTCGATTTAATTGGGGGGGGGAATGCGGAAACAAAGATTTCAGGCTTTTTCTTGAACTTAATTTATGCATTTCTGATTTTTTAGTTTTTACAGTATGTATTGTATGTCTTTTTACAGTACGTATTGTATGGCTTTTTACAATATGTATTGTATGTCTTTTTACAGTATATGTATTGTATGTCAATATTTTTTTTTTTTTTTTTTCTTAAACATGTTGTACAATTAATCACTTTTAAACTATCCTTTTAAACCCTAGGTAAAGTTTATGTTGGTTGCACATTTGTGTGTGTGTTTTTTGTTTTTATTTTTTTTTTAGTGTTTTTGTTTGCTGTTTATATATTCAATGTAGTTAGTTGCACCCTTCTGTTGTGTTTTAATTTTTATTTTTTGTTTTTATTTAATCCTTATTTTTTTGTTTTTATGTAATCCTATGGTTGGCTTTGAGTTCTTACTATTTTTATATTCTATGTTTGTTTTGTTTTTTGTTTTGGCCTCCTATTTTTAGGAAAAAAGACATTTTAAAATCTGTTTTGTGACAATGTCTGGAAGCTATATATGTTGTACCAGAAAAGAGACTGTCTAAACAATATATAGATTTTTTTTTTTTTTATAATTTTGATTTGCACCAGGCATTGTGTAAGTCGCCTTGTGTGTAATGTGAAATGCATTCAGCATGTATATATTACTGGATTGAGGCAAAAAGGGTTTGTCTCGCAGCACTGCGAGAGGTCATAGATCACAATACTGAACACAATCTCCCCTTTGTCTGGGCTCTAACTTCCTGTCCTGATCAGCCATTGAAGGATGTGTCCCCACACACTAGTCCCTTGTGGAACGTAGTATACAATGCTGTGCTGCCTTTTTTTTTTTTTTTTTTTACTTCGGAAATTTGCTGATGACTGTAGTTTTTCACCTACTCTGTAACATTGTATTTTCTTTGTGTACGTTGCATTTCTCTTTGCCCCATAATTGTTCTTGCTAATCCTGGTTACTTAATTCCTTGGGAATTTTAATACTATTGAAGTTTAGAAAAAAAAAAAAGTTATGTTGCACACTAACAATTTTTTAATAATTGTTTTTTAACTTTCTAAGCAGGTTATATTTGTGTGGGGTTTTTTTTTTTTGGAAACCCACATGGTTGCTGTATAATTTTGTATTTCTCTGCTGAATAAAAGAAAACATCCAGCAGTTTTGGAAGTTAATTTAAGATTAGGCAATTCCTTTTTTCCTTTTTCACGCTGGTCAGTGGATTGACATGGTTATGGCCAGGGGCGGACTGACAACTCATGGAGCCCCTGGGCAATAGGGGATCATGGGGCCCCTGTGTCCTTGCCCAAACTCAAAAAAAAATATGAAAAATGTACCAGGGGCATCTCATGGGGCCCCCTACTGATCCCGGGCCCTCGGGCAGTGCCCGAGTTTCCAAATGGTCAGTCCACCCCGGTTATGGCTTTCAAATTCTTATATTTGTAACAAAAATAGGGTTGCAAAAATAACATTTGAAATGCATTATAACAGCCTTGTTTGTTTTGTACTCTTAGACGGAAAGTAAGCAATTCAATTTTTATTTAACAATCCTGCTACTAATATCACTAGCAATTGATTACGAAGCTTTATAGGTTGATGGCTAAACAGATGGAACAAATGGCTGCCTGTGCTGTAAGCTACACTGTAGCATGATCTCTTGATTCACCAGCTTCATTGATCACTCTTACATGCTATTTGTGTAGCTTACACTTTCAGGAACCATTTGTTCCATCTGTTTAGCAGTTACCCTCACTGGTTAATTGCTCGCATAGCATGACGGAGCTACAAAAGTGGCCTGTAGCTGCAGCCTAAATAGACTAGACATTTTCCTAAAACTCCACAGAACTATCTTCGGAGTAGTCGTTTTAAAATGGGTTGTTTGCTGGGATATATATGTATGTTCAGCAGAGTGGACACTGTGCAGGGTTTGCAAACGGTTAAGTTTTTGCTGTACGTGCAGTTTTGGAGCAGGGGAATGGCCTGGTACGGAGGGGGAATCAAGAAAGGCACCCGGCAAGTTTGGCAGTCGGCTCTTCATGCTGTGACCATATGCAAACACAGCTCAGATTTCTATACACATGCACTGCCAGTCTTTCTCTGCTCACTACTTTTTTCTCAGTGAACAAAAGATCAGAAGTGGAAGAAGACAGAGGACTGACCATTGGACAGTGTCAGATGCTGGCCAGGGTTACTTCGTATGGAGTATGAATTGTTGATCTCCATACCTAATGAGATTCTAGTAGTTGTACTGTATGCACTTGGCAGACAACTGTACCACATTGTTTGCTGTACAGAACAGGGTTTCTTAACCAGGCTTCCATGGAACCCTAGGGTTCCTGCAGAGGTTGCTAGGGGTTCCTTGAGCAATCTGCCTCTGATAAGTTTCCAGTGGCACATTGATCTCTTTAGCCTTCTGTAGGAGGGTAATTCTTCCCAATGACCACAGATGTAAGGCGCAATCTTCCCACGGAGAATCACACTAATGTATCATGTGTTGTAGCTGCAGCAATTTTTAGCAGGGGTTCCCTAAGAAAGTTATTTCAAGGGTTTCTTTAGTGTTGAGGCTGCTATAGAACATCAACTCTTGGATGCCAAGGTCAGAGTCAGGCTAGGGCTGCACATGCAATTTTTAATAGCACAGCTGAGACATCAGAATCTCCTGTGGTTGATAGCTTTGCTTGAATCATATTGGCATGGGAATTTCCAGTCTGGTAGTGCAACAATTCAGTCTAGTTGCAGAAGTAATTATGAAAAGGAGACTACTGATAGCCAGTGGTATATGAAGCATAGGTTTATGGCATGTTACTGATGCAGTCCTAAGGCCCCATTCACATCAGGGTGCTTTGTCTGTGAGTTTTTTGTGCCCCCCCCCCCCCCCTTTAAATCAGCCTTCTTCCCCAGAGGTTCCCTTGAAATTTTCAGGTCTTCAGGAATCCTTCCTAAGATTTGTCCATTGGGGGTCATTGAAGAAATTTACATTGGTAGTGGTCAGTGGTAAGAATGCGCCTTTGCAGTTGTGATCAGAAGGCAACCTTTGCAGTCAGGATGCTGGCTCTGCCAAGTGCTGTTGGACCTGGAACTATGCAGCCACCATCAGATAGGAATACCTTCTGCTCTGGCCAACTGACCTAACGCCTCTGGAAGAACCCTGGTTAAAAAATGGTTTCAATAAACAGTCTGTGAAATGAAACTACAGGCAATTCTTTCTGTTTCTGTAGCAACCAGCGATGTTTATGTGCCATCTTTGCCTTCCTTCTTTTGTGACCAGTGTTTTTCCTAAACAGGGCGAAAGTGGCTAGTTGGCTTTTAATTCCTCAAAATGAAGCTTTTTCTTGGTTCTATTCAGTATCGGAAGCTGAAGGAAGTACCTGGTACTTCTGCGTATGGAGGAGGAGCATGGTATTTGCTCCATGTGACAGTCCTTGACTAATCAGTGCCGTCACACATGAAGTGCTGTGTAAGCTATGACTAGTGACCTGTAACTTAAACACAACTTTATCATGAGCACAGCAGCTGAACAAATCCGCTTGGAAGCAAATGGCGAGTACTATTTTTCACAAAAGGGTTTAAAGTGTAAGGCCCATTTCCCATGGCCGGTTTGTTTTGGCCTCCTGATTCCTGTGGCAAGAATCTGCGGATCCTTGCTGCAGAAATTACCAAGTTAAGTGATCAGCATCGGCTGCTCGGCCCATTTGAACTAATGGCGGGCTGACAGCAGCCGCTGCTGATTGCATGTAGCCACACACAGAGCAATTTAGATGTGGTTCTAAGACAGATGTCCAAGCCTGGATGCAGTCCAGCTAATGGGCTGAGTAGCTGATGAGGATTGTATAACCTGATCACTCCGGCAGCAAGAATCCACAAATTATTGCTGAAGGAATCCGGAGGCCGCAACAAACCGGCTGAGTGAGAAGGGCCTCTCTA